GAGAGAGAGAGAGAGAGAGAGAATAAAATTGAAATTTGAGAAGATCAATAAGATTAATGTTAGTCAAATAAAATCACCAATGTATATTTACATACTTAAATAACAATGTAAATTAATATTACACTCATTTTTACCATAGTTAAGCCATACATACAAGAAAATGGCAAACCGAGGCCAGTCATCATTCCCGAGACAGGGATACGACGACTACACCAATAGTAATAATAATATGGCCGACAATAGGATCGCGACCGACGACTACAGCACCGGCGGTCCGACACAGACTACTAGACTACAAGTCCCGCCACAACAACAACAACAGCCCATCCCTGGAATGTTCGGCTCATCGCTGGCCTTCCTCTGGACTCATGTGAACAAAGAGTTGTTTATATCAAAGATATTTTACTTCTTCTTCTTCTCGGCCTTTGGCTCTCTCTTCCCATTAATGGCCGTATATTTCAAACAATTGGGAATGAATGCCATTCAGGCGGGTATGTGTCAGCACACCCTCCCCTCCCCCACACCCCCGGACACAGAATATTCTGTGCAATAACTAATACATTATTGTAAAAACAAATGTATGATTATGATAGATTAAAATAATTAGTGTTATATATTGATAATACAATAAAATATAGTTACAATAAACAAAATAGTATGTTGTAAACTAATTTCCCATTGATATAACATTATTCAAAACACGTTTACAATTAATACAATCTATAATTTATTGCACAGTACAGTACAGTACAGTCTACTCCCTATACGCATAATACATATCAATCATTAGCAATGATTGATCACTACATTAATCACAAACAAATTGCCAAACTAACCATGCTAATTAACCATGCATATGAACTTTCACCAGGCACACTTATCGGCATCAGACCATTCGTGGAGTTCTTGGCGGCCCCGTTCTGGTCGTCGATCGCCGACCGGTTCCACAAAAGCAAACTATTCCTCCTGTTTTCGCTCGTCTGTTGGATTGTATTCACGTTTTCGTTGGCATTCATACGCCCGCCGGCGTCCGCCTGCGTTATATTCAACGAAACGCATCACATATTGTTTACCCCGTACTCCGACTATAACGGGGCCGGAGCCGACCCTAACGCCGAGCCCGAGACCGACATTAGCGAGAATACTAATATTGATAGTAAACTGAGCTTGATCCGCAAACGTCGCGGTATGTTTTAATTGTATTGTTTTATTATTATGCTCATGATTTGTTATTTTTAATGTTTTTATTAATTTACAAAATGAACTTTATAAATCTTTGTTTAAATTAAAATATTATTTTTATGTTTACAAAAATTATATCAATAATATTTTGAACATTTACCCCTATTTTTCGAAAAATTAACTAGTTTTAAATTTAAAAGTAGTTGTTAGTATTAACTTCGTTAGTAGAACTAACTCTATCATAATTTTTATTAACAAGTTTTTAAAAATAATTACAATTACTAATTTATTACCATCATTATCTATTTAAACACAACATAACCAAAAACTAACTCCACATTTGCGTCAACCAAACCATAGGCACTGACGAAGAGGACCGGCGGGAAGAGGAGGACGAGTGGATCCGGAAGTGGGGGTCCAAACACAAGCCCCCACCCACTCATATAGTGGGCAAATCGCCGCTCACTGTCGAGTACACCCTTAACTATAACCAGGAAAAGCACGTGTCGTACGTTTCGCCCCCCTTTTCAACGGTGGTCTATAAGTTGGATGACGTGAAGGAGGTTTTCTTCCTACTATTACTGCTCATACTGTTGGGCGAGTTCTTCAGCGCACCCGCCATTACGCTGGCCGACTGCGCCACACTCAACTACCTGGGTCAGTTTTATATTTAGTTATTTTGTTTTCACTAGATTACATGCTGTAAATGTGCATATGTTTTATTGCCAGTGTTTTTATAATTATTTTTAAACAAGAATCGTTGTTTTTTATTTTGTAGTGTAGATGTTTGTGTGTGTTTTGTTTTTTATTATGGTAATAATTTTCATGTTTTAGTTAGTTTATGATGGTGTGATTTTAATTTTATAATTGTACAATTTTATATAAATGTAGCTAGGCTAAAATTTGTTAAAACAGTTACTAATGTTCAAATAATAACTACCACAAATACTATTGCAATAACAAACTAACCAAGCACATTTTTATCCCACACACCTACTAGGTGAGAACACGGACAATTACGGTAAGCAGCGAATGTACGGCTCATTCGGTTGGGGTATAACCATGTTCTTCGTGGGCATGGCGCTGGACAATTCGACCAAGTTCACTGACCACCCGTGCGGCGCCCATATTGGCGAACGCAACTATGTCACCTGCTTCACCATATTCGCTTTTTTGATGGCCTGCGCACTCGTGGCCGCCACACAATTCCGGTTTGATTTCGAGCCCTCGGGTCCGTTGACTGGCGATGACATCCAAATGAAACCGTATGACTACGAGGCCTCTCAGGCCCGGCCCTGGCTTAACACCGCTCCGCCTATTAATAAGCCCCCGGAGCTGATGGCAGCCGATAAGAAGTTTG